TATATATATATATATATATTCTCAAGCCAAATAAGAATAACATCAAACTAGCAGAATATGGGTCTTCCTCCTCCTCACCCTCCTCATTATCATTCTTTTCTCACTAGACTGCAAAGCAAAAGGATCATAAAGAGGTGTAGATAAAAGTTGAAGCTGATCAGGATGTACCATAAAAGGAATTCTTTTAAACTTTCCAATAATAGCATCATTAAAGTCAGTATTATATACATCATTCTTTTCTTGATGATCCATACTATGGGCCGTAGTCATCCATATCTCAACCTGCCAATCTTTTGATTCCTTATATAATTGAGTCACTTTTTCCATCCTCTAAGTTTAGCTACCTGAACTTCAAGAGTCTTAGGAGTTATAGTACTCATGTTACTGCTTCTATTACTAGGCCTCTCGGCAAATCTATGCTCACTAATCTTTCCTTCTTACTCCTCTCTCTCACTTTGCTTAAAGACCAAAAAATTTCTTTTTGTAAGGGCTACAATGGGGAATAACTATTCTTTAGTTTGATCCCCCTTTATATCCACTGCAACACATAAAGCATAAACTAGAGAAGGGTACCCTAACCTAACAGAACTGGTACCCCAAATGATGTACATAAGAGAGGATAAAATAAGCTTTCCTATAATAACGGAATACCCCAATTGGATAGCATAGTTTAGTAAAGCATGATCATAGGTAACTTCACTAATGTTTCTACTAGCAAGCAAATGTGTTGAAATGAAATAGTGCCATGCTTTAGAGGTTTGAGTCAAGTAGGTGGCTGAGAAATTAATAATTTTATTCTCTCTATTTTTGCAACTTGCTCCACTAGTAGGTCTATAAAGAACATTTAATATATCTTGAGGATCTATATGTGTCCCAATAAAAGTAGTGTATTCATCAAATTCAAAATCACTAAGTTTGTTAATTTTATTTATTGCAATAGAATTAAAAGGAACTAGTTACCACTACATAGCATTTGTTATCTATCGCTTCCTTTCCATTTGCAAAGAATTCTCTAACCCTATTTATAATTGCATTAAAAAGGTTGTTCAACATGATTTGCTTGATTTGGTGGCTTGGATTTTGAAAACCCCTCTCAAGAATTAGTTATTTGATCACAACTAAATTAGCAAACTTAGATTTTGGATAAAAAATTGAATCTCCTATTACCAAAGGAAGAGGATGCCCTCTTCTTTCCAAACATTTTAAGGGCCACCAAGCTGAGAGGATTACAAAAGAGAAGAGTTTGATTAAATTAATATGCTATGAATAAAATGGAAAATGTAAGCCTCCATTTTATAAGTTGAAGGAGTGTTACAACACTACTAGAAATGGTGCTATTGTGCTCAATGTATGAACAAAAAAAATGGTCAAATTGATAGAAGTTACGGTGGACGACGTCACGTGGTGCAACAACATTGGCTTTCAAAAATTGTAACGTCCCTGTAGAATTGGCTACCGTTGCAATGTTTGACATGTGTAAGCACAATGGTGCTCGTATTAGTAACCACTATGATGTTATTAATAATACAATAATAAAAGTAGTACAACACCATGTCATTAGTTACTAGTGCTTGACAGAGTTTCATAGTTTAAATTATGATCGTACAAGTTCTTTTGACTTAGCAAAACCATGCTTTTGTTTGAGTTGAATGACTAGGCACTATGATGCTCAAATAATCAGCATTACAATGCTTAATTAACCAAGAAAATGGTGGTTCAAAATGAGCATTTCCTAAGGTTTATTTCTATAACACTTATTTTCAAAGTAGCAAAGCTTGGGAGAGTAGCACTGTGATGTTTAATCACACAATGCTATGCCACTCAATTATATTTTTTTCAATATTATTTACTAAATTTAGAATATAACTTTAATTTTCAAAACAAAACAAAATGCAAAATGCCAAAAACAAAGACATATGTAACATGACTAATGTAAATTCAAATAAATAACATGACACCCTAAACATAAATATTGGTTACCTCCCATACAATGCAAAATTTATAGTCTTCATTCATACTTGCCTAAATTTATCAATTTGGATGAGGTACATTCCTACCAATCCTCAAATGATTTCATTTGGATATTTTTCTTTATCCTTTGGGTTTAACTTTAATATTGCTAGGCAATGATCCAAGAGTTCTACTACTGATTGAAATTATAAGCTAGCTTAACTAGGTTTCTGAATTTTTTATTGAAGCAGCTTAATTTTGTAATTGAGTCCCTAACTACATCACTACATCTTCCAATGGTGATTTTTTACTTCCAAACTGATTGCTTTGATTAAATCCTAGAGGATATGCAATTCTAGAATTAACAACTAGTTGCTTATGATTGTTTAATTTACTCCTTGATTATTTCTACTAGAATTTCATTGATTGTTACCAGCAACTTTATTTGACAAAATAAAATTATGATGGTTCCTCCAACCTGAATTATATTTATTGGAGTAAAGATTGTTTTGTCATCCAATCAAGTTATCAATCCCTTGTACATTACTATTTCTAATTAACTTTTGATCCTCTAATGGCATCGATAATTCTATTCCAAATTCTACATTTTTTACTATATTATGCTCAACTTCTTAAAAATTGATACAACTTGTGCAGTCAAAATTGACAAAGTATCAGATTCATATACTCATACTACTCTCTTAGGATTTACCCTATCAGCATGTCACTAGGAATTATTAGTATCCATTTTATCTTTTAATTCATATGATTCCTCAAATGGCTTAGACATTAATGATCCTCTAGCTACAACATCTATGATTGCTCTAAGAGATCTTGCCAATCTATTATAAAATGTTTAAATAACCAACCAAATAGGTAAAGCATGGTGAGGGAATTCCCTAAGCATTTCCTTACATCTCTCTCAACTCTCATAAATTGATTCTCCTTAAATCTAGGTAAAATAAGTTATATCATTTCTTAGTTTGGCAGTTTTTGAAGGTGAGAAATACTTAGCTAGAAACTTATGAGTGAACTCATTCCAAGTGTTTATAGAGCTTTGGGGTAAAGAACTAAAACACCTCTTAGCTTTACCACTTAGATAAAATGGGAATAATTTAAGTCTAATATCATTATCACTTACACCATTATACTTAAATATTGCACAAATTTCTAAGAAATTAGCTAAGTGAAAATTTAAAGTTTTGTCATTGCCAATCATAAAGAGACCAGCTTTAATCTCCTCAAGCTAAAATTCTTTATGGAGATTGTGTAATTCCAAAAGAGAGAGTTTATGGCTAAGAGGGATATGGTCCTAATAAGAACCAATAATTAAAATTCTATTAAAAAGATCATTGAAGTAATATATAGCCTCAGCGGCATTACCTCTTAGATAGTTTATAGTATCCTCAACCCCATTGATTTCTTTAATGATATTTTGGTTGGCTCTTTTTTAAATGTTTAATATAGAACATTTAAGGTCATCTTTTATCCTAGAGGGCCAAGTGAATTTAACCCTTTGCTTGATCCAACTTTTCTCATATATTTTGGCTTGAATTAGCTCTTTTAAGTTGGAGAGAGTAGCATCATGAAGTGTTGTATTCATAGGGTTGGATTGTAAGATATTATAAATGATATTCCATTTATTATTTTGATTCATAATGTTACAATGGAGAGTAGTAGAGGTGGAACAAATTATTTTTTAGGGAAATGTTAACATTTATTAGTTTATTTCAAAAAGAGAACATGGGTTTCCCTTTGACATAAATGCTCTAAGATGTACAAATAGTATCTTGAAGAGAGGGCTAAGTTAACCAATAGTTCTTAAACATGAATCATTTATTAGTAGAGATGGAGGAATCTATATTCAAGAGAATTAGAGAATAATTATAAGTAAGGGGGCTCATAATATTGTAATGAGAAAGGGTATAAAAAGAATTCATGCAAGCATTATTATATAAGGCTTGTTCTAGAAGACAAGTAATGTCATTGTTAGTTTGCTGATTAAACCAATTTTAGGACAACCCATTATGAGAGATATCAATGAGGCCATCATAATAAATACAATTATCAAAATGCCTAATCTTGGCAGAAGGAAAGGGGGGGGGGTCTAACATTCTAGCAAAAAATGTTAGGAAGAGACATAGTATATTATTATGAGATTGGGAGAGCCCCCCATTTTGTCTAAACTTCTTAGATTTATCCACCAAAGTGGAGGTCATAAAGTTTTGTAGGTCAGGGTTATCGATAAAGGATGAAGACTAAGTATTGGGAAGGATCATAGTTGGAATAGTACAACTACTGGAGGCTAAACCTTGGCTAGAAAGGATAATGGATTTGTGAGTGGGAAAGGCATTAATAGTACATGGTATTTTAGGTGGAGGGAGGGGGTTTAATGAGTGTCTTGAGGATATATTATAGTGGGAGCCTATAAAAGGGGTGTTTAAGTCATGGTTAAAAGGAGCAATGATTAAAGGTGGGGGTGATGGTGGTTTGATAAAATTTTGCTGAGGAGTAGAAGCGGTCACCTGATCCAACTTTGACCCATAGATCAAGAGGTTGGGGGTCTAAAGAAGGGAATACAATTTTGTAGAGTAATGGATGTAAGATAAATATGAGCCCACGTGCAAACTTGTAACAAGTTGTATATGAAGAGGGATCCATTCATACAGAACTTTCAGGTTAACCTTTTTCCTCTTAAGGAAATATTAATTTCTTATGGAATAAAAAAGGAAGTGGAGATCTAAATACTAACACAGGAAAAAGTAAGTTTAGTTTTGCTAGCAATAAGAAGATCTATAATTAAGGGCACCCTCATCATGATAGCAATTTTTGAATTTTTGTCTCAGTCCAACAGTAGAGAAGAAGCTTAGGAAACTTAACCCCTATAGGAAATTCCCTAAAATCAACTTTAAGAAAAGAAAATTAGGGTCCCAATGTTTGAAGAAGAAATGCTTTCCATTAACAAATCATAGTCCTCCTATAAGCACCATTTTAGGATATTCCAAACAAGAAAACTTAAACAGAAGAATCCTTCTTCAAGGGAAAGAAGAGAGATTTCACTTTTTAGTTTCCATGGTTACTTAGTCGCTAGAAAAGGCTACCATGAAATAGTTTTTTCCCAATAGCATAACACATTAAAGAGGAAGATCAAATTTTTGTACCATCTTTAATTTTGTCATATGAGAAGGAGACAGGGTCAAATGTAGGAAGGAAAATACCTGAGGGAGAAGTGATCAAGGTATGGGAGGTGAGGAGTCCCATATAATTCATAGAAGGGTAGGTGACCGTCAGAGATCACAAGAGGACAGGGAACTACAAGGATCCATGTTTGGGTCCATGAGAAGTTAGGGACTAGGCCTTAAGCTTAATAAAAAAAGATGGAAGCTCAGATTAGGAGAGTTGAGGATGCTCATTAGTAGGAGGAAGGAAAAAAAGAAGTGTTTTTTTTTTCCATTAAAAGAAGCCCCACCTTCACAACTAATTGATCTTCTAATCCAACAACCTAGATCTGGTACTAGCTAAGAATCAGAACTGAGCAGAGAATTTTTTGTCTAAAGGTATTTTATATGTTTAGTTATTTAGGTTTTGTGTACACTCTAAACAAAAAATGATATTAGACATCATACCACATATTAACTTATTAAATCGATCTTTGAACCATCTTCATCTTTGAATCATGTTTAAATTATGATTGAAAAATCTTCAAATCATGATCAAACGTTCTTCTTCTCATATTTGAACAATCTTTGAATAACGATCAAATAATCTTCGATCATTATTCAAATGACTTTGGAACAATAATAGAATAATAATTGAACCATTTTTAAATCATGATTAAACCATCATTTATTCATCTTCAAATCATGGTCAAAATTTCTTTGAATCTTTTTCTAACTTTCAGCTAAGGTTTAAGAATGTTTGAACAAGATTAATACTTGATTTACTTATGATTTGAAGATTATTTGAATTGTTTTTAATATGGTTTTATATCTCCAAAAGATGAATCGAATATAGCTCAATAATGATTCAAAATTTGTTTTATAGTGGCTTAATTGTATTTGGAGTTTATTCAGATTATGATCTAAATTATTTAATATAGTTTGAAAATGATTTAAATGTGATTCAAAGACTGTTTGATATTATTTTGAAGATTATTTGAATCATAATCAAAGATTGTTCAAAGTTGATTCAATCATGATTTAATTATGGTTCAATTGTGATTTGATGTTGATTTAAAGATAATTTGACCATGGTTCACAAAAATTGTTCAAATCATGAGCGAATATTATTTTAAAGATGGTTCAAAGATTTTTCAATGATGGTTTGAATATGATTCAACCGTTATTAGAATTTAATATGGTTTGATTAAGGTTTAGTCAAAGTTTTACTATGTTTTGACCATGATTAGACCATGATTTGAAGATATTTATTTTCTTTTGCCCTCATTATCTCTTTTAAAAATTGACTCGTTGAATTATTTTACTATGTATGCATATATGCTTGAATTATATCAATAAAAAGGTCATATAATATTTAGGTGGCATATATACTTGATTTTGATGGAGAAATTGATTAAATAGTTTAGGCCTAATGATCTCATTATTGAGGTTACTAGATCCATCTTTTTGTTAGTTCCTTAGAACCCTTAAGCTTTAGTTCTTTGGGGCCCTAAATCTATTATTTTGGATGACCAATGATGATAAGAAAAAGCAATGATATTTCATTTTTCCATCAACGCTTGCGCAACAGCTCTTTTCTCTTTAGCAATTCTGAGGCAATTTTAGGGCTCTTGCTTAGGCATTCATTTTCTTCATCATGGATCATATTTTGTTTAGATTTGTTTGTTTTACACCATTATCTATGTGCTTTCTATTTTTCCTACCAATTTTGTTGTTTCCTTTTGCATTTTTGATAGTTTTGGGTTATGAAGATGTTGTCGTCATCAAACCCTTGACTCATTGTAAATGGGGAAGGCAAGTCTCAGTCTTTCAAGGTGGTTCTTGTGGTGGTGTTTAATCATCTGGTTCTAAGATCAATTTCGTTCATAGTTCTTTTAAGGGTTTATCGGCTTTGTTGCTTGATGATAAATTTATTTCTCATCTTGCTGCTCCTTTTACCTTTACAGTTGGGTGGAAAGTTTTGTTACGTCGACCAAACATGGACATTATCCACATGTTTTTGTGAACTTCAAAATTTTTGGAAGCGTTTTCTATTTGATTGATGGATCAATGGCATGTTGCTATACTACTTTCAAATCATTTAGATTATAACGTTTTTTTAGAAGAGCTTACTATATTTATGGTTGCCAACTGCATTTGCTTAAATGGATGCCTGATTTTGATGTTAGAGAGGAATCACCTATAGCCCCTATTTGGTTTTCATTTCCAAATCTGAGGTTACATTTTTTTAATTCCCATATCCTTTTCACTTTATCTTCTATATTTGGTTGACCATTATAGATGCACTATGCTACTACTTTGGTTTTCAGGACATTAATCACACGGGTAATGGTTGAAATGGATACTTCCAAGAAATATCCCAAAGAAATATGGATTAGCTTTGAGCTTAATGGTTATCACCAAAAAGTAAAATTTAAAAAATTTACTTATATTTTGTGGATTTTGTAAATTGCGTGGGCATGGTAACTCTGATTGATTTAAATTACATCCTCATTTACACAAGCATAATGAAGCAGCTAAAGATTTAGAAGGGAAAAATATCATGAATTCTAACCCTGTGCAAGAATTGGTTAAGGAGCATAACTCTCAAAGGGACAATCTTGATCATGAATTTATGGGTCCCTCATTATTGAAGATGGGTGACAATCCATCTAGTAAATCCCTCAAGGACGGAGGAAAGGTGGATCCTCAGCCTAGTATTATTGGTACTAACTGTTTAGTCTCTACCAACACTAGTAGTGAGGATGAGCAAAGGGTGGAAACCCATTTAGAGGATCAAATCAATGTTATGGTTGCTGATCATAAA